ACACGTAAAAATCTCACAACTTGTCAACAAGATGTGTTCGCAACAGGCTTGTAGCAAGCTTGGCAACAAGTTGTAACAATGTTGTTATTTTATCAAGTTGCTACAAGGTTGTCACTCACAACTTGTTAACAAATTGTTGAATTGCAAGACAATAACAAGTTGTTGGAACAACTTGTAACAAGTCTGTTGAGCTCAACAACCTTGTAGCAAGCTTGTCAACAAGCTGGGAACAAGCAGTGCGAACACATCCTGTTGACAAGTTGTTGGAACAGCATTGCCACAAGTCTGCTGCAGGTTTGTTATAACTTGTGCGTTTTTACGTGTGTAGAACATTACATGGACATGCGCAAATGATTCTCAAGATCATGACGTGTTTTAATTTAAAGTCTCAATTCACCTTTATGTATTTCTTGGTATTACTTTGCCCCAGCGTTCGGGGAAATCATTTTCCACTCGGCCACAAACCCTCTGGAGGATTGCGAAGCGGCGAATCTAATGTTGGTCACATGACTTGGAATAACGATCGGCGCAGGCGCATAACGTCCACAATAGCGACCAATCTCGTTACCATGGATACTGTCGTAGACAATGAGGTAATTGTAGTAACACACCACTGTGTCGTCAATGTTGAAATCTTTGAATGATATCTCAAGCCAAAGGTTTGCATCTGAACCCGTGATCTCCCAGTCACATATCTAAATTGAAAACATATATAATGACAATTGAATCGCTGGCTTTAATTCTATCAGTTCTAATTAAACTGCTCTTCCTAGATATCCAGTAAGGATCATCTCTTATTAACCCAGTGTTACAACAGGAGAAACCTTAACTGAACCAACTTTATTTATACTGGATACTTTGAAAACGGAATTCTGGCGTTTGAAAACCAAGTTCTGCTACTTGAAAAGGGAGTTCTGCTATTTAAAAAGGGAGTTTTGCTATTTAAAAGGGAGTTTTGCTATTTAAAAGGGAGTTTTGCTATTTAAAAAGGGAGTTCTGCTATTTGAAAAGGGAGTTTTGCTATTTAAAAGGGAGTTTTGCTATTTAAAAAGGGAGTTCTGCTATTTGAAAAGGGAGTTTTGCTATTTAAAAAGGGAGTTCTGCTATTTGAAAAGGGAGTTTTGCTATTTAAAAGGGAGTTTTGCTATTTAAAAAGGGAGTTCTGCTATTTGAAAAGGGAGTTTTGCTATTTAAAAAGGGAGTTCTGCTATTTGAAAAGGGAGTTTTGCTATTTAAAAGGGAGTTTTGCTATTTAAAAAGGGAGTTCTGCTATTTGAAAAGGGAGTTTTGCTATTTAAAAAGGGAGTTCTGCTATTTGAAAAGGGAGTTTTGCTATTTAAAAGGGAGTTTTGCTATTTAAAAAGGGAGTTCTGCTATTTGAAAAGGGAGTTTTGCTATTTAAAAAGGGAGTTCTGCTATTTGAAAAGGGAGTTTTGCTATTTAAAAGGGAGTTTTGCTATTTAAAAAGGGAGTTCTGCTATTTGAAAAGGGAGTTTTGCTATTTAAAAAGGGAGTTCTGCTATTTGAAAAGGGAGTTTTGCTATTTAAAAGGGAGTTTTGCTATTTAAAAAGGGAGTTCTGCTATTTGAAAAGGGAGTTTTGCTATTTAAAAAGGGAGTTCTGCTATTTGAAAAGGGAGTTTTGCTATTTAAAAGGGAGTTTTGCTATTTAAAAAGGGAGTTCTGCTATTTGAAAAGGGAGTTTTGCTATTTAAAAAGGGAGTTCTGCTATTTGAAAAGGGAGTTTTGCTATTTAAAAGGGAGTTTTGCTATTTAAAAAGGGAGTTCTGCTATTTGAAAAGGGAGTTTTGCTATTTAAAAAGGGAGTTCTGCTATTTGAAAAGGGAGTTTTGCTATTTAAAAGGGAGTTTTGCTATTTAAAAAGGGAGTTCTGCTATTTGAAAAGGGAGTTTTGCTATTTAAAAAGGGAGTTCTGCTATTTGAAAAGGGAGTTTTGCTATTTAAAAGGGAGTTTTGCTATTTAAAAAGGGAGTTCTGCTATTTGAAAAGGGAGTTTTGCTATTTAAAAAGGGAGTTCTGCTATTTGAAAAGGGAATACTGCTATTTGAAAAGGGAGTTCTGATATTTGAAAAGGGAGTTTTGCTATTTAAAAAGGGAGTTCTGCCATTTGAAAAGGGAGTTTTGCTATTTAAAAAGGGAGTCCTACTATTTGAAAACCAAGTTCTGCTATTTGAAAAGGGAGTTCTGCTATTTGAAAAGGGAGTTTTGCTATTTGAAAAGGGAGTTCTGCTATTTGAAAAGGGAGTTTTGCTATTTAAAAATGGAGTTCTGTTATTTGAAAAGGGAGTTCTGCTATTCGAAAAGGGAGTTTTGCTATTTAAAAAGGAAGTTCTGCTATTTGAAAACCAAGTTCTGCTATTTAAAAAGGGAGTTTTGCTATTTGAAAAGGGAGTTTTGCTATTTAAAAGGGAGGTCTGCTATTTGAAAAGGGAATTCTGCTATTTGAAAAGGGAGTTTTGCTATCTGAAAAGGGAATTCTGCTATTTGAAAAGGGAGTTTTGCTATTTGAAAAGGGAGTTTTGCTATTTAAAAGGGGAATTCTGCTATTTGAAAAAGGAATTCTGCTATTTGAAAAGTGAGTTTTGGTATTTAAAAAGGGAGTTCTGCTATTTGAAAAGGGAGTTTTGCTATTTGGAAACCAAGTTCTACTATTTGAAAAGGGAGTTCTGCTATTTGAAAAGGAAGTTCTGCTATTTGAAAAGGGAGTTCAGCTATTTGAAAAGGGAATTCTGCTATTTAAAAAGGGAGTTTTGCTATTTAAAAAGCCGGAGTTCTGCCATTTGAAAACTGAGTTTGGGCATTTGAAAACGGAGTTCTGCCATTTGAAAATGCAGTTGTGGCTTTTTAAATGACGGAGTTATGGTATTTGAAAACCAATTTCTGCCATGAAATGTCAGTATGTCTAGCTAGGTAACTATACCTCATTCACTGGATAATGGCGTGGATAGTTTGGTGATGTAAAATTCCCCTGAGCTCCTGATAACTGACCTCCACAACCTGTGGTAGAGGAGACAGAAATATGATGAAGTGAGGCTGTTATAGATAGCACTGCAGTCATAGTGTTTTCCTCATCTAATAATGAGCTTGAGAATCTTACTTGCTCGCTTTCCAGATGCTTTGTACGTCGCCTTAAAACCACTCTTAGCTCCAATAGAATCCGACGTGAATTTCACGTACGCAGAAGCTCCTTTCACGCGAACTGAATTGCTTTGTAAATCTTGTAGAGAACCGCAGAGTTTCTCACCAACCTGTGTTTTGTAGCCATCTGATATCTGAACACTGTCATTCCTAATTAAATGATGTCCAAAAAGTATTCTGTTTCAAGATTTCTGCTTTAGATTTATATATTGAAAGGTTCAAAAAACAAAAGAGTGTTATTATACTGTGTTAAAAGTTGAATAGTATTGCGTATGCATTTCATCTGCACGTAAAAACGCACAAGTTGTAACAAATGTGCAGCAGACTTGTTGCAACAGCTTGTCAACAGGATGTGTTCGCACTGCTTATTCCCAGCTTGTTGATCAACGGCTTGTTGACAACTTGCTACAAGGTTATTGAGCTTAACATACTTGTTATCATCCTGCAATTCAACAATTTGTCAACAAGTTGTGAGTGACAGCCTTGTAGCAACTTGATGAAATAACAGCATTGTTACAACTTGTTGACAAGCTTGCTACAAGCCCGTTGCGAACACATCTTGTTGACAAGTTGTGAGATTTATGCTGGATTCCTTGAGAAAATGTTTTAAAACTGATAGAGCTATTCAGTATACCATAAAACTAGCTTAAGTACCTGCAGCTAGTTGAATTTTCCACATCAAATTTCTCAAAAAGTACACCAACGTTGCCGTAATACGGCAGGGGATTAATCTTCCATTCACATACAGCATTGTCAGGATAATATCCAGGGTAGTTGGGACTCTCAATGACACCATACGGTGCTGTGAGGTAATCCCCACATGTCTGGCTTGGACAGTGACCCGAAGTGAATGAGATTTCATCTATTGCTGCATCGCTTGTGAAACCATCGCCCACCACACCTTCTATGATTATCTAAAAGAGTTATTACTTTATGAAGAAAAAATAGAATAAAATACATGTATTATACAGTAAGGCAAATACTGGTGACTAGATTTACACTGCATGCACCGGATAGCTGTCTGTAGCGATGTGAGGAATTATTGCAACGGAGAGATGTTGTTTCGCTCAGCTTCTGAAAGTTGTACATTCCGTATCAGATAGGTGCTTTTTCGCGCCGCTACGGCCAGCTATCTGGTATAGTATAAACGTAGCCTATGTTTCCTACCTTATATGGAAGCACCACATCAGAGATATTTACGACTGCTTTGTGCCAAGGACGATCACGATTCCCAGAGATGTTTAGCAAAACCTTCCTTATTTGGCCATAAGCTTGAACGACGTTAATGCTTCCCATGTAAATACCGTTCATGTTGTACATAAACTGCATACATTTTGCACCAGACATCAGCTTGCTGGTGAGCTGTGCTCGATCACCTTTTCGACGATAGCTTGACTCGATATACGCATATTTACCTTTTGCCAGAGAGAATATATAAGTATTATACACAGGCATGAGCAATCATGTTGTATCAGATATATAATCTTAAACACATGAATGATATTTGGTAAAAAAATATGAACTTAGTGATTGTGGAAATCGACATGACTTTGTATCAGATATACAAGCTCCTTCACTATCATAATTTCTTTTGTGTTTTTCTGATCCATTACTTGTGAAGGTTATGGAATGTTTCTTGATGAGAAGGATATTTTTCGTGCAAAAGTGTAACTGTTTTCTATATTTACCTAATTCTAGATAATCGCCAGACGGTCCTGTAAAGTAACTCGGAGTCCTTCCTGATTTTATTGTCCAATCGAAATCATCCATCTTCGAATTTGCCCAAGAACACAGACCATTGTCGAAATCACAGTCATCTATGAAGATGTTGAAAGTAAACGTGTTTTACGATTGATAATATAAAACTAAGCTAAACTAACTTTATACTGGATTGCTCTATTAGTTCTAAACTGTCCTCCCTATAGAGGTCCAGTAAGGATCATTTCTTATTGATCCAGTGTTACTACAGGAGGAAACCTAAACTAAACTAACTTTACTTATACTGAACAGCTCTATTTTTCTAGATTATTCTCCCTAGAAATGTCTAGTAAAGGTAATCTCTTCTATCTTATTATATCTTATTACCTTTACTTTCGATCAAAATGGCCTCAAACGAAGCATTAAAACCTTTCCTTGCGATCAAAGCGTTCGATGAGAAGTGCACGTTGGCCACATCACCATTAATCTTCACTCCAAATCCCCAATTATACAATCCACAATAGCGTGGTCCTACTTGCTTGTCGTTCTTGTCAGATATTCGAATGAAATCTTTGCTGTAAAAGAGTTGAAAAAAATCGTATTAACAAAATAATCTGACTGAACTTCAACTGAGAAACTGCTTCATTAATTAATAATGGTTAGTAAAACACGCACATTGTTAAAGTGTTAGAACAGTTTAGATATGATATAGTATAAATAAAGTTAGTTTAGTTTTTAGGTTTCCTCCTGTAGTAACACTGGATCAATAAGAGATAATCCTTTAATGCTGGACCTCTAGGAAGAACAGTTTAGAACTGACAGAGCTATCCAGTATAGATAAAGTTAGTTTAGTCTATAGGTTTCCTCTTGTAGTAACACTGGATTAATAAGACATTATCCTTACTGGACCTCTAGGAAGAACAGTTTAGAACTGATAGGGTTATCCAGTAGAAATAAAGTTAGTTTAATTTGGGTTTCCTCGTGTAGTAACACTGGATCAATAAGATATGACCCTTACTGGACCTCTAGCAAGAACAGTTTAGAACTGATAAAGCCGGTATCCAGTATAAATGAACTTAATGAAGTTTAGATTAAGTTTTCTCCTGTAGTAACACTGGATCAACAAGATATGATCCTCATTGGATCTCTAAAGAGAACAGTTTTGAACTGAACTGATATATAAAGCCAGTTTAAATAAAGTTAGTTTAGACGTGAATAATCTCACCTGCATTTAGTATCATCTTCAAGATCAAAACTGTGGAATTTCAAGACAATCTTCTTTGTTCCTGCGGGTCCAGTAATCTTCCATGCGCAACGATTGTCGTGTGGATACTTGTTGGGGAATATTGCATAATTTGGACTCACGAATTGTCCAAAGCGCCCTTGAAGCTCTCGTCTGCAATCTAAATGATTTAAAATATGTTAAGTAAGATTTAAAACACGAATGTAAACACGAGGCGACAGCCGACTTTCTTATATTTGATAAAGTACGGACTGCAAGTGTTTTAAAAAAGGAGGCATTTTCACGCGTGTTTTAATATATTTTCTGTAATCAATTGGGAAAAAACTGCTGTTTTTCCCCGGAACATCTTACCGTTGGATTTGCAAGTCTGTTTGGAAAAAGAAATTTCATCAATGGCTATATCACTGTAATCTGATCTTCCGACAACTCCTTCAAAAATGATCTATATTCGTACAGAAAATATTAAAAACAATCATTCATGCTAGTACCTACGAAAATTCTAAGAATGTATATCAATTCTAAACTAAAGGTAAGAATTTCATCTCTTATTGATCCAGTGTTACTAGTGGAGGAAACCTAAGCTAAACTAACTTTGTTTATACTGGATAGCTCTATCAGTTCTGAACTGTTCTTCCTAGAGGTCCAGTAAGGATCATCTCTTATTGATCCAGTGTTACTACAGGAGGAAACCTAAACTAAACTATCTTTATTTATACTGATAGCTTTATTAATTCTAAACTCTTCTCCCTGGAGGTCCAGTCAGAGACAACCAAAGGTAAACATGTGGTGCTTGGTAGAAAGCCGTACCTTAAAAGTAGTTGAGCCATCAACTGGCAAAGGTAACTGAATTTTCTTCCATTTCCGTCCCTGATCACCCGATCTACCCCAGAGCGATGTGATCTTGCCAGAACTGTCTCTGAGATACACGCGCAGACTTCCCATCCCAATCAAGCCATACATGTAGTAGTAAAATGTAAGACAGCGCGCATCTCGGAGACTGGTGCTGACTAGCCGTGCTTTGTCACCCTCCTTGCGGGGTCGTGATGACTCAATGAACAAGTATTGCCCTTGGAAAAAATGAAGTAAACTTTCAGCAACTAGTGATCAGAGGAAGAAAATGGTGTTAATTATTTTCGTTTATATATTGTAGCCTTGTATTTGTACCACAATTTGCATATATAGTGCATCGTAAGCGCACTGGCCTGGAACATGGCGACAGCATTGAAATGCTCTTTCGAAAGCCAAAACGTACCTTTGCCAGAGTGATCACCATCAGGTCCAGTGAGCAATGATGGTGTGCTACCTGATCCAAGGCTCCATTGAAAATCTCCTGTGACGTCATTACGCCAATCTTTACATAGCCCATTATCAAAATCACAGTCTCCTAGACACCAAGAATGAATTGCGGGGAAAAAATTGAAAAAAATAATTGAAAATCTTCGAATTCCTTAGAAACTTTCCACCAAATTTTGACTTTAAAAATTTATTAAATTTTGGCATGACCGAAAAATATTCTTCTTCAGAAACGCTCTTAGAAAGGTTCAAAACACATAGTAAAATTAAAAATTTTGGGTCAAAAGACTTTTAAAGCACATTTTGACTGAATCAAATTTTCATGGTATGAGATTGCTTAGCCGTATTCAAATGATTCTTAGCCGTGTTTACTATGGGCTTATCCGGATTTTACTATAAATTCTACTACGTTAACCGTTTGCCACACATAAGGTTTTGACTGACTTTAAAACATTCCGATTAACATAAAAAATTTTTTAAAAAGTTTCAACTCAAATTTTGATGTTTAACTGGGAAATGTTAACGAGAGTGTGTTTAGAGTGAAAGAATAATTCTGTTCTTACCTTTAGACGGGGGTTTCGGGGCAGAAACAGCCTGAAAATTTGCTGTAAATCCGTCTTCCGTCGCTTCATAATCGGAATAAAATACCACATACGCTGTGCTACCAAGAACCTCAATTTTAGTATTATCTTTCATTTTCCCACAAATTTTGTAGCCAACATGGTTCTTGTTGCGATCAAGTATTTGAACATAGTCATACCTATGTTGGCGGAAGAAAGACAGAATATGAACTATGCCAGTAAGAACAACTCATCACTCATTTAGTGGATAGCTCTAGCAGATCTAAGGTCCAGTAAGGAGTATAATCATTTAACTAGACTAACTTCATCTAAACTGGATGATAGCTCGTCGAAATGCCAACTTTTTTTGGTGTAAAGTGTTCTATCAGTTTTAAACTGTTCTTCCTAAAGGACCAGTAAAGGTCATCCCTTACTGATCCAGTATTACTACAGGAGGAAACCTAAAACTAAAATAACTTTATTTATACTGGATAGTATCAGTTCTAAACTGCTCTTTCTAAGGTCCATTAAGGATCATCTCTTATTGATCCAGTGTTACTACAGGGGGAAACATATACTAAACTAACTTCATTTTTACTGCATGGAAAGCTCTATCAGTTCTAAACTGTTCTTCGTAGAGATCCAGTAAAGATCATCTCTTATTAATCCAGTGTTACTACAGGAGGAAACCTAAACTAAACTAACTTTATTTATGCTGGATTTTTTTCTGACTGGATAGCTCTATCAGTTCTAAAATCTAAACTATTGTCTCTAGCTAGGGTCCATTAATCATCTCTTATTGAATATTCAGTGTTACTACAAGAGGAAGCGTAAACTAAATTAAACTAACTTTATTTACACGTGGTTCATACGTACATGCAGCTGCTTGAGTACTCGACGTTAAATTTCGCAAATGTGATCACAATTTTCTGAGTTCCTTTTGAAGCGACAATTTTCCACTCACATTTGACATTTTTAGGGTAAGAAGACGGATAGTTGGGCGTATGAAAATTTCCTGATTTTCCTTGGAGCACGTTTCCACATTCTGTCAAAATATAGAAATGTAAAGTTGTAATATTATTTAAATGAGATGTGGGGCCCTTTCCCTCCGGGACCTGGGTCTATTCCTTCCATATGCAGACATGCAGTTGTTTGATCATAATTTCACCTCGGTCACATGTGAGAAGAGTGCTTCCAGTTTGACTCTACCAAACACTACAAGTGTTCTCTGGGTACTGTGGGTTATCCACTTGTAATGACACTTCGTAGATCAATAAGGGAGGCAATTATACGTACAGTATACCGGTCCTCTAGGAAGAATACGTATACCGGTCCTCCTGTAGTAACACTGGATCAACAAGAGATGATCCTAACTGGACCTCTAAGGAGGACAGTTTAGAACTGATAGACTGATAGAGCTATCCAGTATAAATAAAGTTTGTTTAGTTTAGCTTACCTCCTGTACACTAGTACAGGATCAATGAGAGATGATCCTTACTGGACCTCTAGGAACAACAGTTTAGAACTGATAGAGCTATCAATATCAATGATACCTATACTTACTTGAAGAATTGCCCAAAGCTTTTCCAATAAAAATGCACACCACTGAGAAGAAAATAGCCAGATATTTCATATCGCAATACTGTATTCAATGTCTGTACATGCAATAATTGAACCGAAAAACAATTATTAATCCTTGATCCAAAAACCAATAAGCAATTCCAACTTAATTACATTTCTTTATATTTGTTGCCACTTTGGTACTGTTTGGACAAGTTATCACGGGGAAATGAAAAATATTTTGAACCTTAAATGTACAATAGCAACAAGAAAGGCAATAACGTGGATTGCTAATGAAACTGCTTTATTGTTTGTTTTGGTAGTTTATTTGAAGCCACATGCAGTTAATTACAAAGATAAATCCGTTATGTGCTCATGTGGCAAACATAAGTAAAGTTGAAAGTGTTCTTGGCAATGTGGGCAACGGTCTGTGCATGGCTATACTCAAGTACGCTTGTTTTGGGCAAACCTTATTTGTGGCTATATTGCTAGGGTTTGGTTTAATAAAAGTTACAATCAGTTTCATGTAGAATTCACCATGAACGAAATGTACCGTACCTTGTGTAATTGCTTGAAAGATTCTTGCCTTTTATTTCTTGATCTACCCCTTGTCAGCACCGTGCTGAATGATGTAAAAACCTCGCAACCTAGGCCCTTTTATGCTAAACATGCCATCCATTATTGTTTGCGCAATTGAAGAACAATAACCAGACCGAAGTAAGACGAAATTTTGGCGTCAGAGGAGAACAGTACTTTTCATTATTAATTAATCATGTCAGTGTTAATTTTGATTTTTTTTTAGTGTCAACATAGTACTGTCATGATACAGTCATGCAGTAATTTATCGTCTTGAGTGCTGTTTTAGAGAGGACTTTGATTTATATCTCATTCCAGCAAACAATACAGAGGAAGTAACGGGAATGCATATACCTATGACCACATAATTGGGACTTCAAAATTGGGAAGTCTAACTAGCTATCAAAACCCTCGATGTTCTGCAAAGTATGCAACTGTGACATCATGAATTATGGATTGAAATTAGCCGTTCTATGTATGTTGCAAGCAAATTTCTATAGCCACTTATAGGCTATGTCCAGGATTTTTGGTAAATCAAGTTACTCCATGCATCGCTTTTTTCAGAAATATATTGATTGATATTCATATGAATGGTACTTCTGTTTTTAAGCTGAATATTTTTCATTGCACTTTATGAAGAAAACAAACACGCACAAAATCTGGGGAAACAGACAGCAATCCTGTCACCTTTGTTCGCTTATCATGATTTCCCACATTATTCGTACAATTGAATGAAACTGGATATTTTTGTTAACATTATCCTGTGATAAATTGATTCTTGTATGGTGACAAGGCATTCTTGATAGCCGAGGATCTAACTTGCCAACTAAACTAAACTATCTGATAGCTCTATCAGTTCTAACTTTACTGTATGAAGTTGTGATGGGTGCTAAATTCGCGGCATGTGCAATGTCCGGTTTAACTTAAATGTCAAAAACACATTAACTTCAATGTCGAAAATATGTTGAATGTTTTGCATGTTCAATGTCAGATTTATCTTCAATGTCGAAAGCACGTAGGTGCTGAATGTCCTATTAATTTAACTTCAATGTCGAAAATATGTTGAATGTTCTGCATGTTCAATGTCAGATTTATCTTCAATGATGAAAGCACGTAGGTGTTGAATGTCCCATTTAACTTCAATGTCAAAAACACATGGGTGTTCAATGTCAGATTTAACTTCAATGTCGAAAGCACGTAGGTGCAGTGAATGTCCTATTTAACTTCAATGTCGAAAGCATGATATACATGAATATTGGCGGTGATATGACGCCATATATTTATGCTGTATAACTCTATCAGTTCTAAACTGTTCCCCCTGGAGGTCCAGTAAGAATCATCTTTTATTGATTCAGTGTTACTGTATACAGGAGGAAACCTAAACTAAACTAACGTGATCTATATTGGATAGCTTTATCAGTTCCAAACTGTTCTTCGTAGAAGTCCAGTAAAGATCAACTCTTATTGATCCAGTGTTACTACAGGAGGAAACCTAAACTAAACTAACTTTATTTACTTGATAGCTCTATCAGTTCTAAACTGATTTCCCTAGAGATCCAGTAACGACCATCTCTTACTGGAGGAACCTATAAGCTAAACTAAACTAAACTAACTTTGTTTTACCGGAATACGCCAAGGCCATCAATTTATTACTGATTGATTGCCTATACTGGTATTGGGAGAAATTTATAATCAATTGTTTGGGCTGCTTGGCGTCACTTAAAATCAATAATTAAGTCTGGTCGTTGTGCTCCCTAAAAGGTTGGTAGAATCAGAGTTAATAGAAATTTATATTTCTATTGACTATGGTAGAATTGCGATCTCCTTTTGAGATCACGTGTTAAGACAAACGACTAAATGAGTAAAGGTCAAGTGTTGAGAGAAGACGCAGTAGGAGTCTGGTGCTCAGTACATACCCAGAATGCGGAAATGATCTTTGCGCCATCAAAACACTTCATGCGTTTATGTTTACATATTCAAATATCTTTCTTTGCTCAACGAGATGCGAAATCACAGATATAAATAACACGCTTCGCGAAGAGAAAACGAAAAACGAAGACTTTCGTTTACGTTCAAAATGAGTCGATTTGGTATCAAGAAAATGCGTCGAAAACTAACGCAGTCTGTGCGAACTGCTTGTAAATTTCGATATATTGTTACGTACGAGTATTTGGAAGTCAAGTCACAAGAAGACTGGTTTGTATATGATATTATTTTGCGGAAGTAAATGCACAAGGGTTTTGTATCTAAGTTTGTTGTGCAATATTGAATATTTTAGCAAATGTAAAATCTACATGTAAAGGTATGCAGCAGTCTGTATGTATAAACGTATAAAAAGTTGATATTCTCATGGAATTCAGATTTGCTAACACACGGTTGAAAGTCTAAGAGCTGGCATATATTAACTTAATACTGGTATCTATGCATTTAATCTTGGCGTGTTAGTATAGCTAATTTGTCGTTAAGATTACATGTGAATATTGGTCTTTTCGGCTTTTGTAAAGTATATGTTAAGTCATGTGATTTATTGCGTTTGTGTTAGTCAGCGTCTTTTAAACAATAAGTTTGGCACACCAATATGATGGCAATATCTCTTTAATAAAAAAGTCAACCAACAATCGTAGACTCGTAGTCAAGCATTTTTCTTCAGCCTTAACTAGTTTCCATAGAATTTCAGGAGGCTAAAACCCTTGAAAATGTAGCGAATTGTGCATAATGTATACAATAATTAACAAAAATCCGCTTTTGCTCCGGTAATTTTCCCCGACTATGTATACAATAAGAGGCATAGAAGACTAAATTAAAAGTCGTATTTATCTTTGGATTTGTATAATACGATAGCTTTGGCGACGAACGTCAAGATTGTGTGTATTGTTTTGTTCACTAGGAAGCCGACTGAGTTGAATATATTGTGGTTCCGGGGTCATAGGACAAAATCATCAATAAAGGTTGGAGTAACGAATTGTTTTGTATATTGGTATCAGTGTCTGTATTGTAAATTACTACAGAGACCTGTAATTAATATATTGCCTTCTCAACGAAGTGTTTAGTATCCTGATAAGGCGAAAAGAATTCAAGAAAGTTCTTTAGAGTTGCACTCAGTCACGCTTACTTGAATTGACCATAGTTAATATAGAAGGTCTTCTATATTAACTATGAATTGACCCTGAATTGACTTACGTTGCAAGACACCGGAAGTTATGACGTATTGCATACATAATCATTAGTTGATTAACATAAATTGCTCTTCCGTATAATCTCAATATATCACTGGAGTGAAAATCCGTTCATACTATCTGCGGCTGACCAATGTGGGAAAATAACGTTTATTTTTTCATTATATAATTAGTAGTCTTGTATTTTGTGGCCAATAATTAAATGGAATAATATTTTCCCATTTTTTTGACAAACAGTAAACTATCCTTTCACCCAGTTTTTTTACTTATAATTTTTCATTACCTTTCCAATACAAAAATTATTAACATAACAAATATGTTTCTTGGTCAGCCATCATGGGTCGTCCAAATCCCAAACACCGTTACAAAAACTTCAACCTGTACAGCAAGATGGAACCCACCTTACTCAGTTGACCTTATTGTGACATTATACAAGGTAAAACTAGAGCTCAAAATAAGTTTGCTTTGCTTGTACATACTGGATCAATAAGAGGTGATCACAACTGGCGCTCTAGGGAGGGCAGTTTGAAACTGATAGAGCTATCCAGTATAAATAAAGTTAGTTTAGTTTAGGTTTCTTCCTGTAGTAACACTGGAACAATAAAAGATGATCCTCACTGGACCTCTAGAGAGAACAGTTTATAACTGATAGAGCTATCTAGTATAAATAAATAAATAAAGTTAGTTTAGTTTAGGTTTCCTCCTGTAGTAACACTGGATATTCAATATAAGCCAGGGTGCATTCCATGTAAACTCTACACCGGAGATACGCCAACATGTACGATCCTTTACGCCAATAGGAGATTTTCAATTTTGGAGACTTAAATCCATGTTTTGAATGCATATCAACATCATATTCGTGTAGTTATACTGTCAATTTACATGTGGCCATGAAATCAGGCACAAACTAATCATTTGTTTTGGAGTGATCTCACGCCATTAAGCCAACAATTTTGTAACCTCACGCCGGATATATCCGGCGTGGAGTGCATGGAATGCACACTGTAATATAAGGAGAACGGTTTAGATCTGATAAAGCTATCCAGCATAAATAAAATTAGTTTAGTTTAGGTTTCCTCCTGTGATAAGTAATTGAACTGTTGTAAAGTGTCTGAGAGCAACTTTAAAATAATTTTTTCAGGATACGGCAGGCTCAACATTCAAGAAAAAAGATTATATGTTCGTCATGGAAGATGTGAGTGCAACTAATTTCCATCCAAATAGTGCCATCAGGGGCTTCAATTTACAAATAGAACCTCCGGCTAGTACCATACCTTTAGCTAACGTTCTGTGCGATAAACTTTGTAAAGTTAAACTTTAAATTTATTCTTGAAGATTTGTGGTGCAAAGAGAAAAAAATTGGCAATATTTCCTTGCAATATTGCCGCGTACGTGAGCATGGATGGCGACACGTAAGTATAATGATGCTCTGGCCATGGTTTGTGTGTTTTTTTAAGTTTAGATATAAGTAATGAGAACCATATTGGTGTCCTATTTACGCCACAAGATAAAAATGTAGTGTGAAATATGATAGTGTGAAGGTCTCGTCTCGTGTTGTTGGCACAATGCGTGCTTGTGAAAAAAATTTTTGTATTAGATAAGCCTGAGAATAAAAAATAAAAAACCACTTGTATATGTATAAATGTAAACCTAAGAAATGTAAGTGTGGGTGTAGACTTTTGGAACAAAAATTGGAGATGCGTGTGTGAAATTGTAACGGTAAAATATCCTGTGGTGTAAAACTTTTTTTTAGATCATACTCGCGGAGTATGATCTCGCCGTACTAAAAAGCTTGTATTGAGGCATGTAAAATATATAAGGCGAGAGGAGGAGATAATCATGTGTGTAAAATTCAGTATCCCTGTACGCGGCGTTTCGTCCTTCATGGACTCGTAGCAGGGATTGGGGTTGGCAATTGTGTGAGAAAGACATGAGTACATAGAAGCCGATTTGGAATAAAGAAAAAAGACATAAAAATTAGCAATATGTGTATATGACTAAGAAGAAAACCAGGAGATACTTGGAGTTAAGATGTTTTTAATCTTTTCATGTAGTTCAGACACAAACCACAATAGTTTATTGTAAAACGCTATCTACACTGAACCTCACGTTTGAAATGTAAGCGAGGGCGTCCATGGCTTTCTCTCCTGTAGACATGATCTAGAGTTGGAATTTAAATCTCTGTCGAAGAAGATTACTTCAGCGAAATGTGGGTTGAAGATAAAATGCGAGTTTATTAAAGAAGGCAGTGCAATGTAAGTGAAGAAATAGTCAAATATAGGGATGGTTGCCTGACCAGCTACCCAGGTGAACTAAGTATAAATAATCATTTTCCAGAGATGACGATATGCAGAGCAACTTCAGTCATATGAGCGAAGCCGAAGAGTTCTCGAGAATGTCGGAACTTGCCGAAGTCAGCGACGAAGATGATTACGACTACGGATATGACGACATCCCGGAGGAAGCGAGTGAACTGGAGCCAAGTGAAGATGTTGAATCGTGGCCTGAGGTCGACTTTAAAAGAACTGACCAAACAGAACCTTCCGCTGATCAAAACGCAACGAAGGCGAAGTCTAAGCCGTATGTATAAATCCCATAATCTTGACGTTTCGAAAAAATATTTCCCCTTCGAAAAATATTGTTGTGGATTGCAAAGCGAAAATGACTCCAATCAAATTCGGAAACATTTTCCAAGTGTGATTTTTGTTGCGGAAACAATGTTTCCTCCTGGTTTGTCCACCTTCGGGAAATATGGTTAGAAAACAATGTTTCCTGGTTTGCCCATCTTTGGAAAACATGGCTAGAAAACAATTCTTCCTAGCTTGCCCACCTTTGGAAAACATGGCTAGGAGACAATGTTTCCTGGTTTGTTCACCTTCGGGAAACATGGCTAGAAAACAATGTTTCCTTGTTTGCCCACCTTTGGGAAACATGGCTAGGAAACAATGTTTCCTTGTTTGCCAACCATTGAAAAACATGGCTAGGAAACAAATGTTTCCTGCTTTACCCACCTTTGGAAAACATGACTAGGAAACAATGTTTCCTGGTTTGTCCACCTTTGGGTAACGTGGGTAAGAATGACAATGTTTTTGCGACAATATTTTCCATAACTAGTTTCCCAGGAGACCAAATTAAACAAACTCTATATTACGTTATGATAAAGATTTAGTCGAGTTAAGACGATTCGTAAAGTGATTATATTGTGCTTGTTTATAGTTGGACCAAGTTTGTCGCAGACATGAACTCGTTCGAGTGGCTAAGAAATCCTTTATCTTCGAGTACGAAGAAGAAGAGAATTGCTGAACAGTTGAAAGAAAATGCTGAAGGTTCGCTCAGGACGTTTTATGATTTGTATTCTGTATGTAGTTAAGGTAGAAGTCGCCAATAATTTTTCCTTGCGGCTTAAAACTAAATTGCGACTTTTCAACAAGATCTTTTCGCAACAGGCTTCTAGCAAGCTTGACAATAAGCTGTAACAGTGCATTTGTTATTTCATTAAGTCGCTACAAGATTGTCACTCGCAACTAGTTGAGAAATTGCTGAATTACAGGACGATAACAAGTTACAGTATATGGATTATACCAACTCTATATGCACTTTAAAGCTACACTGATCGTAACTTATGACTTAATTTTGACTCTATTTGATAACATAAGAATCTGTTTTAAAATTGTCTAAATAAAATATTTTAGCTTAACAGGTTCTTAAATTCTAGGTTTTTATATGAGGGGTTTAACTGTACCCTAACTTAGTAACTAGTAACATGTTCCTCCTTTCAATAATATTTTCTAGGCGAACAACAGCCCAGTACAAAGCACACAGATGAATACGATTTACCTGAACCTCAGGACAAACAGTTGATAAAAGTGAACAGCATGGATAGCCTCGACCGCGGTGACGTCACACCCGACGACGACGATGACATCATTGATGAGTCGGATGATTTCCTGGAAGAACACCGCGATTCAACAGGATCGCTGACCAGCCTACCAACGAGGAACGGTTTGAGGTCGTCTATAAAGGAAACGTTCAAAAACGTTACGAGTAAAACATCATCCAAGGTAACAGAATTATTTCTATCTGCTCTAAACTGTTCTGTCTAGACATGTAGTCAGGCCATCCGTTCGTGGTCCAGTGTTACTACAGGAGGAAACTTGAGTGCCCTGGGGAAACCTCCGGTATTTGGTGGAGTCAAATTTGAACCACTCAGTGACCCTTCTCACATGTGACTGAGGTGAAATTATAATCAGACAACTGTATATTGCAGGAACTGAACTCCGTTCACAGATATTAAAGACACGTGCACCATAGTTAATAGAATTGGGAGGTTAGGGAACTCGATGCAGACATTATTTATGTTTTTGTATTCTTGGTTTATGCAAGAAATGGTCGGTTTATCGTCACGCGTGTATTGTTTTTTCACCCAACCAACCAATTAGCCATTCCGAAGTTGATGAGAGGACTGGGGACGAATGCTAAAAAGTGCTCAAATTAAGAAATGAACCAAATAATTCAAAAGACCACCTCGAAATTAGTAGGTATACAAAGTTTGAAGACGTTTACATGAATACCCTTCGAATAATAAGCTTTCGAAAATTGTGAAATTACTGATTAAAAGATTGCGCCCAAAAACAAAATTACGATACATTTTCATAGCAAATATCGCGATTTTCGAAAGCTTAGTATTCAAAGGATATTCGTGTAAACGTTTTCAAACTTTGTGTACTTACTATTTTTGAGGTGGCCTTTTTAGTGATTTGGTTTCATTTTTTAATTTGAGCACTTTTTAACACTCGTCCCCAGGCACTCATCAACTTCGGAATGGCTAATAGCAGTGTGTTGGTTTAATTACCCAGTCGTGATATTACACAATGGTTACATGAAAACATAGCTATTGGTTGAGGATGAACCGACCATTTCTTGCATATATGTCTGCATCGAGTTTTCTAACCTTCTTATTCGTGACTATGCCTGTAGTACTTATAATGTATATGATTTCTAATCCTAAATGTATATGTGAAGAAATTGTTTATTTCCTTAATTGTGGGGTATAATACCCCACAAATAAGGAAATAAACAATTTCTTCACATATACATTTAGGATTAGAAATCATATACATTATAAGTCAGCATTGTCTTGATTTAATTAATGAAATTATGATTACCGCATGACAACATATCTAAAGACTACAGTATATTGTATCAAATAATTATGAGACTTCGAGAATAGTTAGACAATATAACTATACACAGGGCGATTTTTGTGGTAACGGCTATATAATCTAGAAGGATTATCAATTGATCTCAAACTATATCGATGAGTGATGATTATGTGCAAATGGAATCAAATCTCAAGCCAATGATTAGCAAACGTGATCAAAGAATCAAAGAAATAATCACAGAGTTTAATGCGTTTGACGTAAACATTTGGCTAACTATATATTTTGCTCTAGCTAAATCTACTGAACACTTCTGATGAAGAATGTAAGGTTAGTTTTGATCCGTTCCTGAAATGTGAAAGTCAGTTTACGAACGGCTTTTGAAGACGCTAAGACTGAGAACCGTTTAAATATTTCGTAATACATACGCATACATTCACTTCACATCATGCTTTAATACTTTGTGTAATTATACATACGTACTAACCATAGTTTAGTTTAGTTTGTGTGCATATTATAATAATCTACCTGTGTCTTGCTCGGTTCCAAAGCGTTCCAGCAGAATGTGATCGACTTTTGAACTGTAATTGACACTGGTATTGGCCATGTCAGAGAATTTGGAGACGTCTCCCTTAGGCCTTAGGGATACAATGAGTGTTAATCTCCACATCAATTTTATATTTGTTGTGTAGGAATTAGAAGCGAAACTTCAGGAGAAAAACAGTCAAATATGGTATGTAGAAAGGACATTCTGTTCAAACGAACCAGTACAGGCGGCTTTTAATGATAACTTTGATTCTTTTGTGCACTGAACTTTGATTCTTTTGTGAACTTGTCTGTCTGCTCTGTACTTGTCTTTGATTCTTTTTGAAAAAAACTTTGATTCTTTTGTGCACTGAACTGTAGTTCAGTGCACAAAAGAATCAAAGTTTTTTCATGACATAGGAATCTTGAAAAAGATAACAAGAGCTTAGCTCGAGACAACAGAGAGTTGGTGATTGAAAACAACAAGCTACAAGACACTGTTTTCAGTTTACAAAAACAACGAGAAGAAATGCAAACGGAAATAGGCGAACTGCAAATTCTTGTTGAAGATTTAAAAATACGACTGAGCGAATCCGAGGCGGAACACAAACAGCTGAAGAAAGAAGAGCAGGAATTGCTTGCAAAAATGAACGTGAGTTTTCGTTGTGAATACAATTCTGTACTTCAAGATAATTCCTAAGATACTTTGACCAAGACTTCAATAACCAAATTAAATGCATCTTTAAGGTGTAATGTTACATTGTTTCAACTCTTTTTTCTCTTCGACAGCTCCGTGGCTGGCTCTGTAAACGTGGAGTTAAAGGTATCACAGGACATCAGTGGAGACGAAGATGGTTTGCCACGGACGAGAGTGGAAAACTGTACTACTATAAACAAAATAGTAATTCCTCGCCACAAGGGTAATATATGTACTTTAAAAAACTCATTAATAATTCAGGAGGAAAACACAAAGAAAAATCATAAGCGTGTCGTATCTTTATATGTGATAAAAAATCATGTTAATTTACGTAAACTTTACCTTTGATTTTCTCGGTTTAGACAAAGTTTATTTTAAAAATTACTTCGCCAATAAACTCATATAAGATGAATCGTTTTTTAAGCCATTTAAAGCACTTGTAGACGTGTTTTATCAGATATAAAACATTCCTACGCATGCTTTAAATAGTACATAGTACTAATTGGTTTCGTATATACAAACTCGAGCCGAATAAATGGCCTGATAAGAACATTCGTATTCTTTCAACAGTTTGAAATAAACGAATGATATTTGGTGAGACAATTGAACTTAAAGTTTACGTAAATCAGCATGATTTTGTATCAGATATACAAACTTATTCACGCTCATGATTTCTTGTGCATTTTCTTCATAAATTATTAATGAATTTCGCAATTATTTATACTGGATAGCTCTGTCAATTCTAAACAGTTCTTTCAAATGGTTCAGAGAAAGCCATCTGATATTTATCAGGTGTTAGCAGAAGAGCAAACTGGGGTACCCGCAGAAACGTTTGGTGTTTGGTAGAGTCAAACTGGAAGCAATCTTCTCACATGGAACAGAGGCGTATTTTTATCAGACAACTGCATGAGTTGCTGTGAGAGTCGAAGATAGTTTTTAATTCTCGTTTTTCCCTTGAAGGTTTATTGATCTTGACATGATTATCGAAGTACAAGATCAGGCTGAGGACAAACAAGATAAAAATAAAGCTTCGTTTAATGTTGTCGTCAACAAAAGAAAATATGAATTAATGGCGAGGGATACTGAAGAAAAACAAAAGTGAGTCATTAACATCAGATCACTTTAAAGTTAAAGTACTGTAATTTACATAGTACATGCTTAACTCAACAGTGAGTTCTGTACATGACATCAGATCACGTTAAGGTACAGCAGCTCACATTCAAGAACATGCACTGTCTATGATCTATTGCAACCATGCTTAACTCGACAGTGAGTTCTGTACAACATCAGATCACTTTAAGGTAGCTCACATTCAAGAACCGATGTACTACCTCTACATGATCTAACCATGCTTAACTCAGCAGTAACTTTTGTACAACATCAGATCACTTTAAGGTAGCTCACATTCAAAAACATGTATTACCTATGTGTGATCTAACCATGCTTAACTCAGCTGTAAGTTTTGTACAACATCAGATCACTTTAAGTTAGCTCACATTCAAAAACATGTATTACCTATGTGTGATCTAACCATGCTTAACTCAGCTGTAAGTTCTGTACAACATCAGATCACTTCAGTTTAGGGTAGCTCACATTTAAGAACATGTACAAGTCATGTACTACCTCTACATGATCTGACCATAAACCATGCTTTAATTTGGGTAAAGACGTACCTAAAATGCTCATGTTTTGTGATTGGCTTTCAGAAACAAAAATGATCATTGTTCGTGACTCGTTCTTTAGAAAGACGATTTCTATAGTTTTATATATTGTCTTTCATTGTTATAATCAACCAACCACAAGACTGGATAGTATAGGTAGATGATGACTCTTTAATTTAAATTTTTTCTTGCATTTTAGATGGATAAACGCGCTCGATTACCTCAGACATTGGCGAGGTCATACTTCAAAAATTCTAAACAACGGTCAAACATCAAATGGCGAAGACTCTCTTAATCCATTTCTTAATCCAAATATCTGAACTTCAGCTATGCTTTAATTGTCTGCAAACGAGCGCAGAATAACCTCCGCACTTTCTAGTCAGCTAGTAGACTGTTTTGAGGCTGCTCTCCACGGCTTTATTGTAGGGTAACTGCAACGTTATCACTCACACGTGGTTATTGCACTGGGACAACTTTTTTTCGTAAACAAGTGCGTTTACGTTGGCAACAAACTCGTCCGCATTTCGACGTGAATAGTCGGCCGGCCAAGGTGGCAAAAAGTGCCTCTAAAGAGAGTTTGATGGCAACTTTATGTTAGAAGCTGGTAACAGGCATTTTCTTATACTTCAACCCTTGGTGAATATTAAAGACTCTGTGTGTTACCACTTCTGATTTTTGCTTTATAGCCAAACATTTGAGAATTTTAAAATTTTGCCTATTAAATTACTATGATGGCAAAAAATGTAAAATTTCATGTTCTCTTATACAAAAAATGAACTATACCACTAGAAAGATCACAAAAAACTATATATAAGACAATTAAGCGACTAGTGCGATTTTCAAGCCGATTTTGAATTAAAGATGGTTAAAGTTGGCAAAATGGGTACTAATTAGCATTAATTTGGTCATTTCTGCATTTTTTAGCATTAAAAACTCGAAATAGGATTGGAAAATTGTAGAACTCACTTAATTGTCTTATATATAGTTTTTTACGCTCTTTCTAGTGGTATAGTTTATTTTCCGTATAAGATAACTTGAGATTTTACATTTTTTCCGATCATAGTAATTTAATAGGCAAAATTTAAAAGGTCTCAAATTTTTGGCTATAGAGCAAAAATCAGAAGTGGTAACACATATAGTCTTGTTCACCAAGGCTTGAACTATAAGAAAATGCCTGTTACCAGCTTCTAACATAAAGTTGCCATCCAGTTGTACAAAATGATGACTTGGCCAGCCGTCTAGAACTGATGCTGCAGTTCTGCCAGAAATTTGTATTTGTATGTCGGTTTCAAAACAACAAATGATGGCCAACTCATAGTCTATCAAGATATTATGGTGTGGAAACTGAACAGAAGTAATTGTATGATGTTTTTGTCTGAGTTTATGTTAATTTGGGCACGGTGACTGTGCTTGAACTCATTGTATTTTCGAATATTGAAGTAAGCGTCCAATAGAGATAGCTGAGATGAAATGTGCAACCACGATGAATGATATTTAATGAAGTTGAGACAAAGGATTTGTGCACCGTCAGGTACAGTTCAACATCAAACAAAGGTCTTCTATTTTGTGGCTTTGAACTTTGCCTGGCTTACAAACCATCATATCTTGACAGACTATGGTCCACTTCAGAAATGTTGAAACTTAGAGCAGCAAGGAAACGAAACTACATGTCTCAATTGTATTTATTCGCCACCAAATACAAGACTACTATATATAATGAAAAGAATGAACATTATTTTCTCACTCTGATAACTGCTGGTTGATCACCATCTGATGCACGACAGAATCACCCATAGGCGTACGGGAAGGAAAAATTAGGGGGGGGGGGGCAGAAAGAAATGTGCCCGACTTTTTCGAATTGTGCCCGACAAAAATATTTCGGTCAGTGTACCATTTTAGGGGTCCAAAAATTTTTCGGACATACCAAAATTTTTCGGAACATCAAACAAATTTTCTCAAACATCACAAAATTTGCAGAATTTATCCCATTTATTTTTATAATAACCCAATATTGCCCGACTGTGAAGCGAATATTGTTCAACTGGCTTGGTTTGCCCAACAAACTGGGGTTATTATTACGAGAGATTTTATTGCTTTGACTACTTTTACCCCGACTTTTGCCCGACTTTTGTTGAACATTCGCCCGACTTTTCGACTTTGTAATCTTTTTTTTTTTTGGGAGGGGGGGGGAGCTGCCCCCCTCGTCCCGTACGCCTATGGAAGCACCCATGTAACTGAACAGATATAGGATTAGTGCCTTACGACTCAAGTCTTAGAGATGTGTATGTTAAATTATTGTAAGTTCTAGTATTTAAATTTATAGATTTAATGGGATATATACGAAGCATACATAGTTAATATATAATTTATAACGTATTCGTTTTTTTAACTGATGTATTTAGATTTTAAAAAACTTATTAATAATTCATGAGAAAAGATAAAGGAAATCACTGCCGTGTATATGTGATAAAAAATCATATTCATTTACATAAACTTTAGCTTGGATTTTCTCGTCTTAGACAGCGTTTATTTTGAGAATTACTTTGCCAATAAACTCATAAGGTGGGTCGTTTTTAAGGCATTTAAAACACTCGCAACAGATATAAAACACTCTGGCTGTCGCCTCGTGTTTTATATCTGATAAAGCACTCCTGCTTGTTTTAAATGGTTAGCACTTTTTTCCATCCAGCAAACCGCCCTATTGATTTTCTAAAGTCGTTTTTTTTTGTTTTTTTTTTATTAATTCGGTTAGGGTTAGGGTTAGAGTTAGAGTTGCGGTTAGGGTTAGGGGTTAGAGTAGGGGTAGGGTTTGGGTTAGTTACATAGCCATTTAACAGCTCTTCTATCTTCCGAAAATGACGTCAGGTCAGTTTGCTGGATGGAAAATAGTGCTGCTAACCGTTTTAAATAGTACAAAACATGTTTTATAGAAGCTGTTCCCTTGGTATTATTTTATAAATTCACCATCCTGGAAACATACATGTTATTTGAAACGATATTGTCTATTTACAGCATGACTTTACAATATTTAAAGCCCGTTATATTATCCTACCACAATGCGTTGCGTTTTAAAAATGGCGCCTGTTTTGTCGAAATGATCGTTTTACACATTGGCATCTTGGTCGTACTTACATGACGTACCAGTGGATGTACCGGGGAGAATTAAAAATTTTCCAAGATGGCCGAAGCGAATTTGTTAACTTGGGCCGGTGGATGGGGCCTGCCGTCGCTAGATCCTAGCTGTTTGCAAGCATTGGTATGTTAGTGTGTAGAATACATGCTTATCTTTATTAATCTGCAAAAATAATTCTTGCGAACGTCGTAAATGTGCTTGAAAAATCTCCTTAACTCGACTGAGGAGTGGTGCCAGTGGGCTCAACAATGAACGATCTAGCTTTTTTTATGAAATCTAGTGTAATAGAAATTGAATAATAGTGGATATCTCAAGTGAAATTCACCACCAAATGCAATACTACTACATAAAATGAAAAAAGCATTATTTTCTAACTTTAATACCCAAGGATTCGTAGTAAATATGTTAGAAAGTATCAAGATGTGGGCCTGATATCTCGGTTGCGCAATGCAAATTTTCCACACTGGGATGCACAATAGTACTTTAGTAAAACCCACCTATACCATATAGATTGTGATTGTTTAGTTTTATATATTAAAATTATGTTTAGGCATATGCAAAGTTTGCTGGTTTTCCAACAAAAGTAACGTGCTGTAATAACCCATATAAATCACCCACAGGTACGGCCACTTGATGGTATTAGAGAGGTTGGAATTTGATTTCCACCACCGCTACCTCTCATTGCCACAATACGTATCTGATTGGTTAATCGGGCAGAATAAATGCATCTGATTGGTTAATGAAATCTTGTGATAGCTGTAGTGGAAGTCAAATGTGAACCCCTACAGATATATTAACATGGTTCATTTTGTTAAACTACATAATATATGCTCATTACCACCCAATTGACTTACATATGTAATTGACATGTTTGTTACCTTTGTTCCATTCTATGCTTACATTATCAGAACAGTGGTAACTAGGCATGTGAGTTATCCCACCCAATTCACTCACATATATAATTTAAATGCTTGGTTACCTTTGTTCAGGGATGGATCCAGCATGATCAGGTAGGGGGGGGGGGTGTGCTCTGCCAGCTCTGGTGCTGAGTTGTGTCGGTCATGTGTGCCGCCCGCCCATCAATTTGCTTCACTATTGCAAAGTCTTGCTTGACTACAGTATTTGAATGGCAATTGTTGTTCACAGTTTGCTTATCCATCATGTTATTACTCAAATTACTGTATCTCATTTTGTCTCTAATAATTTTTTGCTTTATCATGAAAAATAGCACCCCCCCCTGCACCCCCTCTGGCCAGGGCTAGGGGGGTGTGCACCCCACAATAAATCCATTCCTGCCTTTGTTCCATTCTATGCTTACATTATTGATCAGAACACTGTGGTAACTAGTGGCATGTGAGTTATCCCACCCAATTCACTCACATAATTATATAATTTAAATGCTTGGTTACCTTCGTTTCATTCTATGCTTACATATACCAAAATGTGAATTGGACATTTCATAACAACCTTACTAACTTGTTTGTCATTTCAATTTCAGCAATATTACCGGTACTAAGGTTAACAGATGATATGTTTTGTGGTTCTGATGATGTCATTGAATATTTGAGGGCAAATGTAAGTTTTACGTGAAATAATTTGATTGCATTGAAATTTCTGTAGTTAGCCTAACAACTTTTCACTTAATTTTGTTCAGAACAATAACACAGATGAAGAATTATCAAATAAACAGAAAATGGACGTACTTGGCTTGTGTTGTTATGTTGAAGATATGCTAAGACCAGCGCTGGTTGGTTTTAAATTAGACACATGTTTAGCACGCTATTATGCTACTTGGTATCCAATTCACATTTTCAACAACTCACATGCCTAGTTACCACTGTTCTGATAATGTAAGCATAGAATGAAACAAAGGTAACCAGTTTTCTCCTTCGTTTTAGCTGTATATGAAATGGCTAGTCGACCAAAACTACACTCAATTTACTCGCGGATGGTACGCAAAGCAGCTCAAATTTCCATACAATTATATCATTCCTGCAAAATATTTTAACCACGCTAAAAACTTCGTCGCACACAAGTTAAATATCGAAGAAGCTGACGTTATATGTGACGTCACGGAAGAAAAGGTATCTCGATTTTAAAATATAATCGTAACAAGATCGATAAACTTTAGACCATCAATTAATTGTGTTATATTCTACTTTGATTGAAGCTTAACAAAAGGGCAGAATCTTGCTTTGAAGTACTAAACAACGTTCTTGGTGATCAGGAATTCCTATTTGGCGATAGGTTAGTTTACTCAGACAAAAACGTTATTCAAATTGAATGTAATTTGACGTCTGTGGTGTTACTCTGAGTGTGTATCCACACCGGGTAAGCTGAAAAGTGTGCCTAACCACGGTGGGGATCGAACCCGCGACCTTTGAGATACCAATTCAATGCTCTGCCAACTGAGCTATACGTGGTCAAGTCGGTTCGAGTTGGTGTCTTGACCTCACAGCTTCAACTCGTAGCTTGAATTCGTACCTTGACCTCGAGTTGGTGTTTTTTTCGGGGATTACATTCATTTACTTAATAACTAGAGTAGCAAAACATGTCTGATAATATCAAAACATGTCTAATAATATTGTCACCGTGAACTCTCAAAATGAATTTTCCTTTTTCAGCCCGACAACACTGGATTCTAAAGTGTTCTCATACGTAGCAATAATGTTGAAAATACCACTACCGACCAACAAATTAAAATCTCGTATTCTGGAATATCCGAATCTGGAACGATATTGCGATAAAATACTTCATTTATATTTCCCCACAGGTAAGTTTAAATCTTGCAACTCAACGAAGAAAAGTGTTTAGCAATGAAGAGAGTTTAGATGATACGCCAAACAGAAAATGATGTCTGAAGTTCAGCAAGTTTTGCTTATATTGTTATATAAATATAGCGTCAATTTTACACCATCAATGATAATTTAAATTGACAATATTTTACTATTTTGCGAGGGGCATAATATCACTGATTTAAATAACGTACGCCCTCAAAACAAAGCACAAAAAATCAAAATAAAAAATACCATGGCAAAAAGTGCTAAAAAGCAAAAAGTGAGAGAAAATTATAAGAGAATGGGAAAAAGGTTTTAAAAAGTTTTAAAAAAAATCCGTTAAAAAATAAAAAAAAGCAAAAAATTTTGAAAATCACAAAAAAAATGACACGATTTTTAGGAGTGATTTGCCCCTCGGTATTTTGTGTTCCTCAACCGCCATGAGATACATTAAAAAGGTTGCTAACAAACTACAAAACAACCATGTTTCGCTCGCTATATGTAGCTAAAACAAAATAATTTTGAGAGGAACGCCGTTTGAAAGATTTTAGGTTTTGAAGACTTTTTCATCGCAAATACAAGACATTAAAAAATGCCTTTTAATCTACAGTTGCCAGGGAGCTCGGGCGACCAGACCCAGTGAAGGACGAGGCGGAGGAATCACGAAGGAAAAAAATCAACGCAGTTGTTTCCGTTGGGTTTGCTGTGGTCGCTATGGTGTTCTACGCCTTGTCCAGCGGTATCATCCACATTGACCTCGACGAGAAAGAATCTTGCGATCACTGTCGGGACAAGAATGCTGGCGAGACTCATGAGTAGAGAATTGTGGAACAATGCGTAGAGGAACAGCGCCAAGCTTCTATACGCGTATATGATAAAACTAGGCTGTTATAGCCCTACCACAGTATCTTACCACGAGGCTTTCTACCAAGCTGCGTGGTATATAGGTAACTGATTGTACTATATTGGTAAATATCAAGATTTCGTTCGATACAACAATGGCTTTTTGCAGATGGAATTTCAGGATCCTAGTTAGGATTTAAAATTTTTTATATAAATTGGCGTTCTCGAATTCCATCTACAAGAAGCCCATCTACTATAGCGTTTGTTTAACTGACCAGAGTTCTTCCCGGGGGCGGATCTAGCGGATTCTAGCCTCATCTACAAAGAGGGGTGCAGGTTTTCCATGGAGTGGTGCATGAGGGAGCCTTACTGCCCACTCTCCTCTGCAGTCTGCAACGCTACTATCCCAACATTACCATTATTTGAGATGGCCGAATCTGCATGTTCGCCGTTCTGTTACGTTTTACATTATCTTTTGTTTATAAAGTTTATATCTGCTTTTTATCACGTATGTGTGACTGAACAGTTGCTGCAACACAGTGCAGTAAAAAATTGCTTGTTAAAGTGCAGTATTTTCCACAAAATATGGCTGTATAACAACCTAGACATGTTTACATATTTAACCATGATATTAACTGTAACTAAAAGATTCTGAGTATTTTCTCGTGAGCTTGCAAATCAATTAAATCGTTTCAACAAATCGACACGCGCTCTAACAGTAGAAGTTCCGCTAATCGCTATTCGCAAAACAGACAATGCATGGTTAAAAACACATTTTTAGGGTCTTTCGTATGGGCTTCCTGTTCCTTTTAGTAATCTCATGTCTTTGTAAAGAACAAGTCTTTTTTAGCGTACAATAATATATTGTGTATTAATTGAAACTTAATACAAAATTATTATTTGATTAAAGTTAAATAATCACAAGCGATTCTTTTCGGAGCCATAACCAGATCAAATCAATGTCAAGAATGAAGAAATATACAATACCCGAACATTTCAAAATAAAGCTAAACTACCCCCAGCCTGTATACCTAAAGACTAATTTTGGTGATTGATCAATAAAGTATATATGCGTACTTTAAATTATATTCTAATTCTGGTTCATACCTGAATTATATATCAGAAATGCGGGAGAATTGTTTAATAGTGACTAATAGTAATACCTAAGGTAAATCGTTGATTATATCAACATAGTTCACGGGGAAATATCCATCTTTACCATTCACTGTCCCTTCTAGCCAGTTCTCGTCAATTCGTCCTGTTAGCGTTATCATGTCACCCTCAACAAATTCCAACTCTCCTTCGTTTTCTGAAAATCATGAAATTAGCGCATGGTGCATGAGAAAATAGTTCCAGTAATTACACGAGGAGTGTTCGTATATTGTTTAGTGTATACAGCTATTTCAACTAAGGTTGTCCACGAGCAAAGAGGAAAAGTCGAATACAAGCGCGAAAGGCTGCTGGGAATCGCTAATAAATTAATGAATTTTCAAAGCGATTCCCATGAAGCAGCCTTTCGCGCTCATATTCGACTTTTCCGCTTTGCTCGTGGACAACCTTAATTGAAATAGCTGTATGCCTTTCGTTTGTGTGATGAGGGTTTGATTGTTGCAAAACACTTTGTCTGATTATAATTTCAATTCAGTAGCATCAGAAAAGAATGATTAAAATAAACAGCTTTACTGTAGTTTAAATTTTAAGCTTAGAGTTATTCACTTGTGTAGATAATTCTAAAGCTTAGTTCCTTTGTTCTATTCTTTGTCTGCAATAACGCGACTTTTCATCCAAATGACAGGCAATCAGAATGGTTGTAGCGAGAAAAACTGAACGGTAATTCATCTTTTAAGCTGTCTCTATACTCTATCAATACATTAAAATAGCCGGTTTTGTTATACCTGCCCCTCAACTGAAATCCCAAAATCACGTCATTGAAAACAAAGAATTCTATACTGTACTTCAGTATACTATAGAACGATGATAATTAGGCATGTGAATTGATCTATTAATGTTGTGAATTGATCTATTAATGTTGTGAATTGACCAAATTTGTCTGTGGGTTTAAACTCTACCTGGTTCAAAGTCGTAAAGTGCTTTAGCACACGGAGTGCTGTCGCCATTTCTCTTGGCAGGTGTGGGAGAGAATGAGTACCCGCCGCTGCTGCTGTCGTCTTCTTCCTCATCGTCATCTCCAGTCCATTTCGACTCGTGTTCTGTTCGTCTTTCTTTACGTGGCCTGCTTGACGCCTCGCTAATCCTGCATTACACGAAAAGTGAGTTCACAACCAAGCAATGTCAATGAAGGCCTATTTAATATCTTTTCGAAAAGTCTTTTCAAAAACTGTGTGATGAAAATCAATGCCCAGCATAATGGAGGTAATTAATATAAATAAACAATCACAGAATGAAATGGCGGCATTGATTTTCAGCATAAAGTTACGATTCCCGCCTTGTTCATGGCTACCAGAATCAGGGTGTTAGCCAGGATTTCAAAAGTGGCCGTTCAAAATAATTTTGTGGGCGTGGCAACATATTTTTGTGGGCTTGGTCACATGCTTTTGGGTGTGGCCGCAATTTTCTGTTGTAGAATTGTGGTGTTTTATTCGTTGAACCGTTGTACTTTTAGATGCACATTTCCGTCATTAAATTAGTAAAAGCACATATACTGTATGGTACCGTAACTGTAACGTGGCTGTTTTTTTAAAACAGCGGTTTATTGTTTAACATTATTCTCCTTGATACTTCATGCAAGAATCATCAAAATGGTTACCAAAACATGGCGCGTTTTACAAAAATATGCATGGCGCGAAGTAGTCAAGAAATATTACAAAGCTTGTAGGTTGCTATGTGTTAAAGAATATAGGACGGCCACCTGGCTAACACCCTGACCAGAATGCTTAACGCGATCTTTTATGTCAGGACAAGGGAAATTTGCCATTAGAAACATTCTTTAAAGCCATCATCCCTGGGGCTTCGTGCAGAAAGGTCTACTCCCTGACTTACTTGTCATCCAGTGTAGATGCCAGCGTCTCCAAGAGTTCGTATGATTTCTGATGGTATTCCATCACGGCTTTCACAAAGTCCGTCAGTTGTGTGATTTGTTCATCCTGTTTCGAACACGTACAGAATTTGATTAGAATGAATAACATGTACAGTTGGTAAAACAATAAATCTAAATCTAAATTGTTATTTTTTGGGTAGGTGGTTATCACACTCTATTTGATAAAAAAAAGTTCTGCCATTTGAAAAGGGAGTTCTGGCATTTGAAATGGTACTTCTGGCATTTAAAAACCAAGTTCTGCCATTTGAAAAGGGAGTTCTGGTGTTTGAAAACGGAATTTTGGCATTTGAAATGGTACTTCTGGCATTTGAAAAGGGAGTTCTGCCATTTGAAAAGGACGTTTTGCCATTTGAAAAGGGAGTTCTGCCATTTGAAAACGGAGTTTTGGCATTTCAAATGGTACTTCTGGCATTTGAAAACCAAGTTCTGCCATTTGAAAAGGGAGTTCTGGCATCTGTAAAGGGAGTTCTTGCGTTTCATCGTAGGTACCTCGAATCCCCTATCAACTGGACGAGAAATTCAATAAACAAATTACCTCTCCTTCTGATAAAGTCAACATTGCATTGTAACAAACTGTTTTAGAACTTTCAAATTTATCTTCGGCTGCACGAATTTCTTCCGGAGGTACTGAGAAAATACAGACAGCAAATAAATAAATGAATTCATTACTTAATAAATGCTGGTGAATTTGAAATACTCAGAAATGAATGCACTCCATACTTTTACTGCCTTTTCTTTTCTTACAATCAAAGTCGAGTCGTCTGCCTTCCATCTTTTTTCTGTGGTGCTTTTGAACAAATAATTCAACATATATTTACTCAATCATTGCACTACTGTTTGCATTTTAAACAAACATTTACAAGTTAATAATTTACTCCATGATGCGATTCTTACGTTTATTTCCTTGATCTCCTTGCTTTCCAAAAGGTATAATGGATCCAAGAAATTTTGCTTCGCCTCTGCATCCTGCGGTAAATAGAAACTTTATTTAGATTCTTTGCTTAGAGCACTACCCGGAATTGCAGGGCAGCAGGTTCGATTCCTACCACGGACCTA